GCCTCGGCACTTTACCGCGGGTTGCTGCCCTGGGGCGCCCCGTCCCAGACGCACGCCCTGTCCTCCGGGGGTCGCCCTGAACAGCGGGGTGGCCAGCCCAAGGCGCGTCTGTCGTTGGCCCGCTGCCAGCTCCTCTTCCCAGGGTGCCGAGCCCCTGCTCGGGCCCTTTCTGCTTCCGGGCTCCTCTGTCCTGCGGGAGGGATGTGGCCGTGCTGCGAGCACGGGGTTGCTTCTCTCCCTGTCTGGACGCTTGCCCTCCCAGCCCCTTTGCCCCCTTCGCGGGCACTCTTGCGCACCATCTCTGTCTGCTGCCCGCGAGGCCTCTGTGCGCTGTGGACTTGGCGGCGGTGGCCTCCTCCTGGTCTCTGGCCCAGTGGGGCCCTCTGAGCTTAGGCGGTGCCGCCTCCCTCGCACTCTGTGGCGCTTGCTCCTGTCCTTGCTGTGCGTTTCTCCAGCGCTGCCCCAACCGCGCTGTGTCCTGTGCCCTCGGTAGAAGTTGGCCCTGAAGTGACAGTTTGCAGGTGGCAGTGACTCTCCGCCCACTCCCTCTGGTTCTTGACCTTTCCCGTTCTTCTTGTTCATCTTTGAACGGGTGATGTTTACATCGTAGCCACTGGCCCTTGGGCCTAGACGCCGTCAGGCACATCGCACAGAAACCCGCAACTGTCGGGAGAAGAGCCGTATTTATCTTGTTGTACAAATACAGTTTTGAAGCATCTTTTGGGGTTTGTTTCCATTTCTTAATAAACACGTTGGCCAGGGCGTGTGCTCATGGCAGCATCTGTGTGCTCGGAGCAGGGCTCCACGGCTCTCTGGGGGAGCCACAAGGCTCCTCGAGAAGGGGACAGGCCAGTGAATGGCGCCTGGCCCTGCAGTGGGGCCTGGTCCAGGGCTGCAGGTTCTGAGCGCCCTGCCCTCTGCCCCTCTCTGTGGTGCCGCCTGAGCCCCCGCCCACAGCCAGCTTGTCTCGCCCCCAGGGCTGTCCAGCGGAGGCCGAGCCTGCTGGGAGCCCATCACGACAGTCGGGCTGCCTGTCCCCTGCCAGCTTGGTGTCTGGAACACGCCCAGGGCTGCAGCACCCGCTCCCTGGGCACCCGGTTGCAGAGCTCACCCCAGTCTGTACTGCAGGCAGGACCTTCTTAGCGTGTGCTCACTTGCGCACACCGCCACCCTGGGCAGGCTTGTCTGGGTCACCCTCTGGGACAGGAACCACTCTGTCTGCAGTACCCGGGCCAGCTGGCATGGTCACCTCCCCTCCATCGTGGCCCTGGGATGGCAGAGTCAGGGTACCAATCTCACAGGGAAAGTGAGTTTTCAACTCAGTCCAAGGCCTAGAGCAAAACCACTCTTCCTGACCTGAACTCTGCTTGGGTTTTCTTTTCCTTTTCTGCAGGGCTGGGGGTGAAGCCAGGGCCTGGCACTGAGTGTGAGCCCTGCAGTGTCTTCTCTTGTGATGGGCCTGGCCCTCCTGCGGGCTGCAGCTTGAGGCCCCGCCCACCCCTCTGCCGCTGCAGTTAGCTGGGTCTTCCGCGCTCCAGCCTCTGGATCGAGGCCTGTCTGTCCGTCCTTCCTCCGGACACACCTATGCCTCATCCCTGGCCTCATCAGAGGCCCTCCCAGCACCGGTTCTCTTTGCCCTACACCACAGTGCCCCCCACCGGACAGGCCACGCCCGCCCGTCTGCTCAGCTCCCTGGAGAGCGGCCTGGTCTCTCGCCCTGGAAGGAAACTACTCTGGGCGGTTTGGTGGGAGTGGCTGCCGGACCCCAGGCACAGAGACCCTGGGGAAGGGACTCCTGGCCTCAGAGACTTCCCGGGCCCTGTCGTGCTGTCACAGCAGCCAGCTGCCTGCATGCGCTATTGGGCGCTCGGAGGCCGGGCCATTGTGCAACCCGGCCAGCACCGAGAGCTGCCTGGGCCTGGGTCTCCCGGCTCTGAGCAGGTCCTCGAGAGGCCCCTGTTCTGTTCTGCCCCGCCCCCCACTGCATCCCACTGTGATAATGTGCACCTCAAACATCAGTATTTTTTTCTTCTGGTTTGAATATGCTTGCCTGCTTCTAGAAATAAGCACTTTTAAAAAAAAATATGCAAAGAGCTGTGTACGCTCTAGTAACTGCAACTGCGTGAGCCTTCGTTTCTTCACAGAACGGGAACAAGTCTGCCTGTTTCTTGGCAGAGGAAGTGTATATATATATATAAATGCGCGCGCGCGCGCGCGTGTGTGTGTGTAATTTTGTTTCAACACTGGAGGTTGAGCCCAGGGCCTTTGTACTGAGCTACATCCACAGTCCTTTTTTCTTTTTTTAATTATTATTTGTGGTACCAGGGATCAAACTCAGGATCTTATGCTTGCGAGGCAGGTGGGGAAGACCTGAGTTAAATTCCTGGCCCAGCCCTTTCTTATTTTCTAAATTTTAAGACATTTTCACTAAGTTACCCAGGCTGGGTTTGAACTGGTGACCCTCCTGCCTCAGCCTCCTAGACGGCAGGGATCACAGGCTGCGCCTTCATGCCAGGTTCCAGGGGCTGTTTTACACACCCCCATAGGTGCACATTTGCTGAGGCCAGACAGGGAGGAAGTCGCACCCCTGGAATGAGGCCAGTGCCGTGGTTGTTAGGGATGTCTTTATGATAGTTTCATCATTGTCACTTTCTGACTCGGTGACTTGACTTTACCTGCCTGGGTTCTTCTCTCTTCTGTCCCTTTGTCTGTCTCTCCCTTCCTTCCTTCCTTCCTTTCTTTCTCGAGACAAGGTCTCATTGAGTGTCCAAAGCTGGTCTTGAACTCCTGCGCTCAAGTGACCCTCCTGCCTCAGCCTCACGAGAGCAGGGGCTACAGACAGGCAGGCACTACTGGACCCATCTCTTAAAAAGCCAAACATTTTTAAAAATTAATTTCGGTGGAATAGACTTACCCCTTTGACACGTGGCCTTCTCCATCTGTGGCACTAATCAGCCACCTCGGCCCAGCCGGTGCCACCGCCCCTCCAGAGCATCCCCTGTCTCAGACCAGAGCTCTGCCCCCTTCGCATGCGGCGCCCACCTGTCCTGGTCCCTGCCAGTGTGAGTGGGGTCCCTGGCACGGTCTGCGGGTGTCCCCAGACCTCCAGGTCGCGTTCCATCCCTTCTTAACTTCCAAGGATGCAACCTGCAGGCGCATCCCCCCCTTTCCCTGAGCAGGGTTCTTTCGGGCCAGCCGCCCCCATCCTGTCCCAAGCCGAAGGCACTGCTGCGCCAAGGTGGGGCTTCCCACAGCCCTCTTCAGGGTCGTAGGGCTTCAGGTGGAAGTGTTAGGTAGGCATGGAAGTCTGTGCGGTGCTTTCAGTCCAAAATAACAGTCTCTGTCCTGTTTCTTCACGATGTTCTAGGACGACCCTTTCAAAAATAAAGCCTTGTTATTTAGCAACAACACCCAGGACCTGCACCCGGACCCCTTCCGAGCCGAGGACCCTTTCAAGTCCGACCCGTTCAAAGGCGCAGACCCCTTCAAAGGTAGTGGCCCTGAGCCCGCTATCCCTGGGTCTCCCCGCAGTGCGGTGCGCAGGCAGGGCCTCCATCGTCTCCCGGACAGGAAGGCCATAGAAGCCAGCCACCGGCCTCTCCAGTGTTCAGAGCCACACAGGCTCCGGGGAGGAGGCCGCGGGGGTATCGGGGTGCAGCCTGGGCAGGGGCAGAGCCGGCCAGGGCCGCGTGGCCCTCCCCTCGAGGCTGAAGGATACATGGCGGGGAGAGAGGGTGGCTGCTCCTGGGAGGAGGCCGCGGGGGTATCGGGGTGCAGCCTGGGCAGGGGCAGAGCCGGCCAGGGCCGCGTGGCCCTCCCCTCGAGGCTGAAGGATACATGGCGGGGAGAGAGGGTGGCTGCTCCCAACGCGGCCCCACCACGCCTTCCCTGTCACCCCCAGTGTCCTAGCCGGGCTCCCCGAGTGGCACGGGCCGCTTGGTGATGCGGGCGGGACAAGGACGAGGAGAGGGAGGCGCCCGCGCCAAGCAGCCTGTCCTCTGCCGCGCAGGTGACCCGTTCCAGAGCGACCCCTTCGCAGAGCAGCCGGCAGCAGCCGCAGGTAGCGTGAGCTCCCATCTGTGTCTCTGGGCAGCAGGGGGGAAGCAGGAGCGGCTCCAGGGACCCTGCCCTCGGCACCGGACTGTGGTGGTCGTGCCCAGAGTCTTGCTGCCTGCCTTGGCAGCTGTTTTTTTCTTTTGGGTACCAGGGATTGAACTCTGGACCTTGTGCTTGCAAGGCGGGTGTGGTGCCACCGAGCTACATATCTCCCCCCACCCAGGCAGCCTGTGTACCCCACGATCATCGGGGTTCAGGGTCCTCAGCCCGCCCGGGTGGGGCCTGCCCTGCCCTGGGGGCGCCTCCTCCCAGCCCAGCCCCTCATCTGTGCCCCGGGCCCTCGGCGTCGGTGTCCTGCAGAGGGCACCGTCTCCAGGGAAGGCGCTGCTTCACAGGGACCTGGGTGGTGCAGAGGTGGGGTCCGGGGCCCATCCGGTCCCGTCCCCCTGGACACGGGGTGACTGCGTGGGCGGAGTTTGACACATTGAGACCAGACCTTCCCACCCCACGTGAGGTCCCTGTGGCCCGCTGCCACCCTTTGATGTGGCCCTGCCTGCCCTGCCCTCACGAGGACAGTGGACAGTGCCCTCCGTGGCGCACGTTCTGCCTTGGTCTTGGGACGTGTCGCTCACGGCTGCTTTCCTCCCATGTCCCGGATGCCGTCCAGACCCATTCGGAGGGGACCCTTTCACAGAGAGCGACCCATTCTGTGGCTCTGCCCCTGACGACTTCTTCCAGAAGCAGACCGAGAGTGACGCGTTTACCTCAGACCCCTTCACGAAGACCGCCTCCCTCCCTTCAAAGGTGAGTGGCAGGGGAGATGGGGTGTGATGACAGCCCTTCCCACTGCAGCCTCCATGCGCAGCGAGTCCCAGCTCCATCTTTCCGTCTTGGTCCTCTGTGGGGTGATGTTGTGACACTGGTGTCTGCGGCCCATGCTCACTCTCCCAACTGTCAGGCGGCCACTTGGCTGGCCAGGGCAGAGGTTCAGGCTGGGAGCTGGCATCACAGTGACCTAGGGAGGGTTAGAGCAAGGCCCCCCACCATCCCTCTGTGTCCCTCAACTCTGCTCTGTCCTCTGTCCCCACTGCCACTTCATCTCCTGAGAAGACAAATGGAATGCCACATAGCTGGCACAGTGGCACACGTGTGCAGCCCCGCCTACTCAGGAGGCTGAGGCAGGAGGATCACTTGAATCCAGGAGTTGTAGACCAGCTTGGTCCACACAGTGAAACCCTGACTCAGCACAGCCATACAGACCGGGTGCTCGGCCGCCTGGAGTCTCCTGAAATATGGCCCTGGAGGGCACCCGGGCCAGGCTGTCCCATGGGGACTCCTGCCCCTGCTTGGCGGGTGGCTGTGGGCTGTGGCATTCCTCACACCTGTCCCCTCACCCAGCCCTGCGGGGCTGCTCAGGTCCGGGCCCACCAGTGACGGCTCCCATGCACCTGCGCTGCAGGCTGGAGTCCCAGGGCCCCATGAGCGGCCCGCCCTCCAGACAGCCTTGGCCTCTGCCTCTGCCCATGTCCCCCGCGCTCCTGGCTGGGTGCAGGGTCGCTGCAGAGGGTCCTTGGGGCGGTGCCTTCCTCGCCTGGCCCAACCACTCCCTCCTTCTCTCCCCTCCCTAGCTCGACCCCTTCGAGTCCAGTGACCCTTTCTCCTCCAGTGTCTCCTCGAAAGGATCAGGTGAGGCCTGTACCCCCACCCCCACCGGTCTCCCTCCTGCGCTGCCCCAGCCCCCGGCACGGTGCACCTCAGGGAAGCCCTCAGAGGGAACTGTAGCCAGAGCCGATTTGCCTTAGGTGGTGGGCAAGGACCCAGTGTTAGCACCACAACTCTTTGAACTGCCTTTGTTGGCTGTCCTGGGGGTGGATCCCAGGGCCTTTGCTCTGAGTGGCACCCTTAGCCCTGCTTATTTTTTGTTTTGAGACAGGGTCTCACTAAGTTGCAAAGTTACCCAGACTGAGCTCAAACTTGCATCCTCCTGCCTCAGCTTCCTGTGCTGGGGTGACAGGTGTGGGCCTGCTCCCAGCATTGTTAGTTGCTGCTCACCCACGACCTTTGCTTTGGGTGCTGGGGTTTTTCCCTAGAGTCCACAGGTGACCCCAGGCCTTGGTTTGCGCTGCAAGTCCCAGTTAGGCTCCTCAGCTCCTGGCATGAGCGCACCCATGCACTCCTAGGTGATAGAGAAGGGGCGTCGGGGACCCCGTGTTCTTGGGCACAGTTCTGCCTGGGTCTGCTCTATGCACGGCAGCCAGTGCACCTCAGTCAGGGGGAGCTCCATGTCAGGCAGGGGCTGCTCTGGGCAAATCAAGGAGGAAGTGTGGTGTGACCTCTCCCTGAATCCTGGGCTACTCGGGGAGGCTGAGGCAGGAGGATCATGAACTCAGGAGCCAGCCTGGGTCACCCGGCCAGCCCGTGTCTGTTGAATGGTGGCCACCAGGTGGCTCTCCCCCTCCTGTGTCATGTGCCGTGAGGCCAAGGGCTTTCCCAGAGCAGCCGACCAGGAGGAGCCAAGTAGGCCTGGGTGCCCACCGGCGCCCAGAGCACTGAGCCCGCCTGCTGTGCCCTTGCAGACCCCTTCGGGACCCTGGACCCCTTCGGGAGCTGGGCCTTCAGCAATGCCGAGGGCTTCGCTGACTTCAGCCAGATGTCCAAGGTACAACCCGCCTGCTCGGTGTGTTCCGTGGGCCAGGTGGGGGTCCTGGGCGCCAGGGAGGGAGCTGGCCATTGTGGCCGGGCTGCAGTGACCAGTGTGCGGGCCTCCTGCCCAGACGACACGGTGGCCACAGCAGGCTCCAGGCCCCGCAGCCAGCCAGCTGGGCCCACGCTGTGGGGGG